AGCTTCCAGAATGGAAGCTCTGTACCCACGATCCCCAAACTCCTCCCCCGGCCCCCGACAGCCGGCATTCGTCTTTCTGTGTCTACACATCAGGCATCTCCTGGAAGTGGGATCGTGCGGGATGCGCCCCTTTGTGCCAGTCTACATCACTTAGCGAAAGGTCTTCAGGCTTCATCCATGTCGCGGCGTGTTCTGTTTGTCCATCCAGCAGTGGACAGTGGGCCGCCGCCGCCTTTCGGCTCCGGTCAGGAATGCAGCTGTGGACCTGGGAGTCCCCGGGTTCTGTATCCTGCTGCCTCGGGAGCAGCGGACTGATAAGGACTTCCCGCCACGCCTTTGGTCGAAGTGCTTACAGTTTGGTTGTGGAGATGGGTTTGCACTCGTGAAACTGAGACTAGCAGCCCCAAGTGGTTAAGATGCCCCATGGCCCTACCAGGGCTCACTCACTGTTACATTCCCTGCCATCACCCCCAGGAAGCTGGGCGGACGCATTCTAGAAAGGCGGTGAGCCCAGCTGAAGGTGAGCCGAGGGCTGGCCTAGCAAGAGCATCGCTGTCAGCTGTTGCAAACTGAGTCTCCTCTCCCAGTGAAATTGCCTTTGACTCATAACTGGGGGGAACTGGGGCATGGGATGGGGCAAAATGCGTTTTCCAGTCAATGTGGGGGCCAGCTTCTGATGTTGAGTGAGAGAGCACATCACTAGGCCAAGTGTTAGGAGAGAGTGACTGAGGAGCTGGGGACCCTGCACAAAACACAGGGGTTCTTCAGGGAGCTAGACGTGGTCACAGACAGAGACCGTTGTGTGTATGTTGGGGGGGGAGCCCCGACCCTCCCCCTGACTCCTGAGAAGGTCCTCCTATTGTGGGTGTGCAGGCCGCCTCCAGCCCAGGCAGGGCTTGTGTCTTCACTGAACTCACCCACTAGCTGCATACCTGCTTCCCCTTTGCAGACCCCCAGGTGGGGGATGGAGGCACCTGGGGTTGGGTGGCAGGGGAGACAGGGAAACACCGGGCGCCCAGGTTACGTTCTGTTTGCTTGGCCGCCCTCAGCCTTGCAGCCAGGTTCCTCTCGCTCCCTGCAGTGTCCTCCTGGCTCCTGTTGCAGCGAACCCCTCCCTCTTCCCTGCCGCCCTCCATGGGCCTCGCCCGTTGGCCCAGCACCAGGCCCCAGGACTCTGTGTGCGAACCCTGGCACGTCATCAGGGGCCTTCTAGTCAGCGGCTGGGGTTCTAGGACTTGCATTGTTTTGTCCCCTGCAAGGTCGGGTCCTGGAGGGCTTCATCTGTCCTTGTGGCGGGCCCCGGCTAGCAAAGCAAATACATCGGGTCAGCCCGGCCATGCTGACGGAGAGCCAGGCTTGTTGGCACAAGCTCCAGAGCTGGCGTGGGCTTGTGGGAGGCTGGCCCGAGCCACAGACCATGGCACCGGCAGGCCTGTTTGTTCCTCGGCCCCTGGCAGGCCTGGGCAGACTAGATTTCTATCCTGTGGAACACAGATGCTTCCTCCTGAGCCGGCCTGCCCCTCGGAGCAGCACAGCCTGGGAAAGGGGAGGCTCGTCCCCGTGAGCCCCCTCCCTCTGTTCTCCTGGTCACTGCCATCATCTTTCTCGCCCCCCATCCCTTCTCTCCTCCGTGAGCTCTCCATGAGCTCTCCGTGAGCACAATAACACGGTTGTCTGAGCGAAGCACAATTGCCATATGAACCAACGGTTTCGGGATAATAGATATTAAAGCGTGTTCAGATACTCGATTTCCTTTGATTTCTGTAGTTTCCAGCAGACCTGCAATTTGAGTTCTTCCTCGTCGGTCGGAAAGGGTTTGGGACCCCTGACCGCCAGGCAGGGGGAGGAGGTATGGAATGTGTCCAGCCCCAGGGCTCTTCTCAGTGGCACTCAGACAGTACCGGCAACTGTAACGGGGCCTGTTTCACGCCTGTCTTGCCCCTGTTTGAGTCGAAGCACTCCAGAGCATTCCACCGGCTGTTGTAGGAGGGACACCTGCACTGTCACAGTCCCTGAGATCCCGGTGCAGCCATTTGGTCATGCTTTGAACGTGCAGCTCCTGTACCCACAGAGCCTGCAAGAGCCATCGGAGAGGTTGTGCACCGTAATGGAATGAGAGGCTCTTGTCCTGTTCCAAGGAGGACGTTTCATTGCATCTTCACCTCTTAAGATCAGGGTATTAAAAGGCCTGGCATGGGCAGCCCCGGTGGTGCAGCAGTTTAGCCCTGCAGCCCAGGGCATGATCCTGGAGACCTGGGATCGAGTCCCACGTCGGGCCCCCTGCATGGAGCCTGCTTCTTCCTCTGCCTGTGTCTCTGACTCTCTCTCTCTCTGTGTCTCTCATGAATAAATAAATATAATCTTTAAAAAAAAAAAGGCCTGGCTTGTCAAGACATGAACTCTAGAAATAATGTTTGAGATACACAGCCAAGTGCTGCCCGGGTGCCTCTTGCCAGCCTTGGCTATGGTGGGGGGGGCATCTTGAGGTTTTAAAAACATCTCAGAGACCATGCAACCCATAGGGAGGTGCCCAAAGAGATGATCACCTGCCAGATTCTTCTGGAAATAGAGGCCATCTAGGATGGTTTAGCAGGCAGTGTGCTCTCTAAAATTAGGGCTGGGAGAGGGGCATGGCCACCCAATGCTTGCTGCTTTGATGTTATTGCTGGAAAAGTAGGAGGAAATACATGGAGCTCATGAGTGGCCTTCTGGAAGAAACCAAAGACAAGCCATGGAGGACTGACCAGTACAGGGCTGGTTTCATCCCTCTCTGATGTTTCTGGGACTCTTAGGCTCTTACCTCCTGCCTGAGTTCTTTGAAATGCCCCCTCTGCACACCTTTGGCTGGCAGGAGCAGCCCCGAGCTCAGTGACTTGAAGGTGTGTGAAAGCCCAAGTGAGCAGAGGTGACTGCAGGTGTGGCCAGGAAGCGTCACCAGCTCACCTCTCGCAGTGGGCCCGGGGCCAGCGTCGGCTCACCTGCAGACCCCCATGCTGGCCCCCCACCCCCCACCCGCCGGGGTAGTTACTGTTCCTGGAGCCCTGCACCTGAGCAGGATGCACAGTCGGGGACTCCCTGGGGCTCCCAGCCAGGTCCCGAAGTGCACGCCAGCTGCGCCGTCGCCTTGGCCGGCTTACAGCCGCTGCTGCAGAGGGGTCTGTCGCATGGCTGAGGGCCTGTCCTGACCATGCTCCCGTACAACACACGTCTCCTCCCGAGCTGCCAGACACGCTTGCTCTGAAGCAAGGTCTGAGCTTGATGTTTTCTTTCTCCTGGGCGCCCAACGCTCTCGTTTGCTTCTCCTTCAAGCCCGCTCGGTAAAAAGGGCAGCTGTTGACGGGGTAGGAAGAGTGACCACCAGAGTGGGGGGGAGACGTATGCTGCTGTCACCAGAAACTCAAATCAGCTGCGAGCCACAACCTGCCCTGACAATATAAAGAAAACTACCTTGCTTCAGTTGGGTCGTGTCCTGGTCTGTAGGAGGCAGCCCGCCAGCCAGGGGGCATCGGCCCGAACCGGGCAACAGAGTAGGATGGGCTCAGGTTTCCATGGGAGGAATTGGATGCACACAGGATTGGAAGCTCTAGATTGAATCCCTAAGATCGGAGCATTAAAAGGATCGGCCGATAGAAGGTTCTGGATTTCTGATGAGGTTTTCTTTTTTCAAAGTAGGTTGTGTTTTCATCTCATTAGGGTGGATTAGGTTCATTTCTGTCAGCACAGAATTGCCTCACAGAGCTTGGCTGGTGGTGTGGTGGGAGGGAGTGTTGAGTATCAAACGTCCCAGAGGAGGGGGGCTGTGGGTTGGAGTAGAGATCTTGGCTCTGGGTTGTGTGTTCTTATTGTTTAGCCTGTAGGCCAGATGTTTCATTAGCTTGACAGGTTAATTTGTGGGGGTCACTACCAAGATGGGGACCAGAGGAAAATGGTTTTAACAAGTCAGATAAGTGTTCAGAATGAAGCTCAGTGAGGAAAATGTAGAATTAGGGGCTCCTGGGGGGCTCAGTCGGTGAAGGGTCTGCCTTTGGCTCAGGTCATGATCTCAGGGCCCTGGGATCGAGCCCCGTTGGGCTCCCTGCTCCGTGGGGAGTCTGCTTCTCCTCCCTCCATGCTCTCTTGCTCGCTTATGCTCAAACAAATAAAATCTTTTTTAAAAAATGTAGAATTTTGGGCAGCCCTGGTGGCTCAGCGGTTTAGTGCCGCCTTCAGTGCAGGGCGGGATCCTGGAGACCCAGTATCGAGTCCCGCGTTGGGCTCCCTGCATGGAGCCTGCTTCTTCCTCTGCCTGTGTCTCTGCCTCTCTCTGTGTGTCTCCCATGAATAAATAAATAAAAATCTTAAAGTAGAATTTTACCAGCCTGCACAGGAATAAGAAATAGCTAGGAATGAGCAAACGTAATGGAAGATGTCTGGGGATGGGAAGGAGGCCAGAGTCCGTGGGCAGCCTTGGGCGATGTTTGAAGCAGCCATAGGGGTTGTGTCATTAGATCCTTTCTAGAATACTCTCTAGAATCTTTCAGGCTAATAGGGCTGTGGGTAGGCTTGGAAACTGACCTACAAATAAAGGAATTTGGGGCTTATAGAGAGTAAGAATTCATAAATTTTTAAGATGTAGAAAAACAAATCCAGCCCTGATTTGAAGACCTGTTCCAGTTCTTCATAATCTTCATTGAAGATGGAATTGAGTTTCCACAGCTTGGGGGTAGACACAGGGAAAACCTGACCATGGAGGTCGTTCAACATCAGGATGAGTTTCCGAGGGAAGGTTCTGGGTTTCTGATGAGGTTTTGAAAGCAGGCTCTGTCTTCATCTCATTAGAGTGGTTTACACCCGTCCCCTGGTTGCCCCTGGTGGCCGGGTGCTGACCCCGAGACACCCACCTGCCTTTCCGTCCCCCAGGAACCCGTCGGTGGCCCCCTTTCCCGGGTCGTGAGCTGGGTGGGGCCACGCAGGGGCGCTGACCTAACTGGAGTGTGCTTCTCTCTCTCCCTCCCCTGCAGTATGAGTTTAAAGCCAAGAACATCAAGAAGAAGAAGGTGAGCATTATGGTTTCCGTGGATGGAGTGAAAGTGATTCTGAAGAAGAAGAAGAAGGTAAGGGGCTCTGAACCAGAAGCTGGTAGGAGGGGAGCAAGAAACGGGGTGTGGGGAGCCTCGTCCCGCAAGGCCGCTCTCTGGACAGCGTCCTTCCTAGTGTGGGGAGCAGGGGCTGGGACCAGCACCTGTGTCGGGCGGCAGCAGCTGCGCAGGCACATGAGGCAGAGGCCCGCGGCCTCGTCAACCCTAAGGCCCCATGTCCCGGCGTCCCATGGGCAACAGGGCCCACCTGCCACCGTATTTGCATTTTGTTACCTGGACCTTTTGAGTCTTGATCTTAGGAAATACTTGAAATTCAAAGTGATGATGAGTATAAGAGGGTTTGGCAAGGGAGTGGATGAGGAGGCTTTGTCAGCAGCTGTCCCCTTCCGTCCCAGGCACAACCCTCTGTCCCCCGTGAGGTGGCGTCCGGCCCCCCTGTGTGTCCTGTGCTGTCGCTTCAGTGCATTTCTTGGAATATTCCTCTCCAGGCCTGTCCACCGCTGGTGTTTGGTGTGAGGAAGGCTGGGCTGGGGCCAGGATGGGGGGGTAGCGGAAGAAGGGCTGAGCCACTAAGTGGAGGACATTCCTCTGAGCTGGGGTGACACAAGCGAGTGTGTGTTGCTGAGACGTGTGGCTGTTTGCGTGTCACTTTTACGTGTGGTGGGAGAATGAGGGCAACCCCTGGGAAAAGCTAGGTGTGCGTATTGGCAGAGGGGAGCCAGCGTATGTTTCCAGAAAGAACTGGAAGGGGGCTTGGAGGGTTGAGCAAACAGGAGAAGTGTTTTTGCTCCTCTATTTCTTGACCCTGATGATGCCTTTTTAAGCTGTGATGGTTTTGTTTTATACGAGCTGGTGGTGGCACCTTGCGCAGCAGTGTCGTCCGCACCTCGCAGGCTGCCTTCGGTTCCAAACCCAGATGCTGTTAGTTCAGGTGGGACTGAAGGCGAACCTTGAGTGGGGGCATTACAGAGCATGAGGACAAGCGCACGGTGGCAGGGGACGTGAGGTCAGAGAATCAAGTAGTTGAGGGGGAAGGGTAGTCGTCCTGCCGATCCAGGCGTTTGAATCCACGCTCCGTCCTCCTCGCAAAGAGTTGGACACCACGCGGTGCTCGGGGCTTGGCTGCTTCCTCCGGGAGCCCCTCGTTTCCTCTGGACAAATGGCCATTTACAAGGGTCTCCCGTGTGTTGACCCAAAACCTGTGCTCCTGTGCTCCCTGAGCATCTTTGGAGGTACTTCTAGAAAGTGCACGGCGATGAGGTCGGGAGTATACAGGAAAAAGATCGAATAGGATATGTTGTGTGGAAAGAACTCTTTAAAAATTCACAAGGTTCACTGGTTTTGGCTTTATAAGCCTCCACGGTGGGACCAGAGTCCCCGTCTTATTCCTACTCCGGGGGTAGGGGGTGGGGGTGGCTCTTCTCCCCCCCGCCCCCCATGCATGTGCACACAGGCGACCGTGCGACAGTCTTTGGAATATCGTCCTCCTGAGGGTCCCTGGGCAGGAGAGTCGCTGAAGCCAGTTAAATCCTGGATGATGACCATGTGGATTTAAAAGCGAGAGGTACCCTCGGGAAAAACCACGGGCCAGTGCAACCCAAGCTCACGACAGAGGCAGCCGGCCTGAGTCCTGCCTAGCCTTTGTCACGTGTGTCACATAGCTTCACTCAGCCCTCCGCGTGATGGGGGACCGGTGGCTCTGGGCCCTCACGTCCTGTGTGATGAAGTCGTGGTTGTGGCTTGGGGCCAGCTTCCAGGTTCCAAGATGCCCCTGTGCCCATTCAGTGCATCCCTTGGTCAGGCCTCCTGGGAAGGTCTCAAGGACATAGGGGCAGGCTCCGTGACACCCAGTCTTCTCACTGAGCCGCTCCCCGCCGGGTGCTAGGCTATCAGCCCTCCAGAGCCCCCGACTCCCGCTCCCCCGTCTCAGAGGTAGGAGCCCGGGTCGCTGGCTCTCCCGCCGGAGCGCAGGAGGGGCTGATGTGTCCACTGGAGTGCCGGCTGCATCATTCACTTTGAGACCGTGCACGGTTGCCCACACCAGATGCTCACACATTAGCCTCACGAGCCTGAGAAGCCGTTTCCTCTGCGCCAAGTGATGTGGGAAGGCAGGTTGTTAGAGGAGGTTCGGTGAGCATGAGATGGGGTAACGGTGCAGGTCGGCCCGCTGTGTGGCGGTGGGTCTCCTGGGCTCTGGCTCCATGGTAAACGGGTCCCGGGATGCTCGGAGGGGCCTTGTTGGGCACATGCTGTCCTGGGGTCTGATCGACAGGCTCAGCCAGGGTTTGCCTCCGGCACTGACCTCCGTGCCCTCCTAGCTGACAATCGTGCCCTCCCCTCCGCCCCCACGCACGCACACCCCCGGCTGCATCATCTTTCAGTTGGGTGCCACTTCAAGGTGATGTCCTGGGGCCTGTTCCGTCCCTTTCAGGTAACTTAGTATACCTCTGATTTGATCCATGAGGATGGGACTTTGTGGTTTTGCCTTTCAGGGGGACAGTCTTATTTCCCCCTCTCAGTGTGTCCCCCATGCATCGTGTACCACGTGCAGCACCATCCCCCCACTGCATGTGCAAAAAACTGATGTTGGAGAGCCTTAAATATTTTTGCCCAACATGATGCCATATGTAAGGACACCTGTGTGCTGAGGTGTCACCTGGCAGAGAAGCCAGCCTCCTTCCACTGGGTGATGAGAGCTGAGCTGGAGAAACATCTTCCTCAGGGAGCCCCGGGGGACCTTGTGACTCATTTTGAACTCCCTCCCTGGTAATTGCTACTGTGGGCTCCCCCTCCAGCTGGCCCACAAAAGAGGTGATCTAACAGGTCTTTCCTCGATCTGATTCTTCTGAGGCCAGGCCTGGGAACGGGAAACTTCCTATCTTGTTTTCTCCACCCCTTCCTGGTGTCCGTTTCAGGCGTGGTTGTGATTCGGATAATGCCTGTAATCACAGTGTTTGTTGATGTCGTCTCGGACAGGTGTGTGCACATTCATGGCAATCAGCCCCTGTGTCATTTTGTTCCCACGTGACCGGCCTCTGGTACCTGAGTGTGCTGACGCTGCCTCACGGTCTGCCTGTCTTTCTCTGTTTATAGGATTGAGAGGGGCCAGGTGGAGACGCGCCATGCTTGTCTGCAGGTTTGGGCGATGGCCATCCTCATCAGGTTAAGAACTAGAGCTCGTGTCTGGTAGCTGAGGGTGAAGAAAAACTCATGGCTGATACTCCGCCATGGGCACCAGTAGAGGTCCAGCCTAACATTCGCAACTGATTAGTTAGGGTCTGTGCTGCCCTCGTTGGTCAAAATGTTGACTAGACCCCCCTCCTCCCGCAAACACTTTGATCTTCACTGGGTGACTGTGCATGCTAGAAGGAGCCCACGGCTGAGAAGTCCCAGGTCCTAGTCCTGGCTCTTCCCTTCCTGGCTGTGTGGTCATGGGCAGGTTATTTGGCCTCTTTGAGCTTCAGCTCTCAAGAGTTGGATTTCTTTTTTTTAAAAGATTTTATTCATTTATTAATGAGAGAGAGAGAGAGACAGAGACACAGGCAGAGGGAGAAGCAGGCTCCATGCAGGGAGCCCGATGTGGGATTCGATCCTGGGTCTCCAGGATCATACCCTGGGCCGAAGGCAGATGCTCACCTGCTGAGCCACCCAGGCGTCCCTCAAGAGTTGGATTAGGTGATCATTTCCACTTAGCCAACTGAGTGCTCTGCACTAGCTCTGGAACCATGCCCTTCGCTGCTCGTAGATGTGTATACCGTGCACCTGTCCTTACTTAGGTCCTTGAGAGCCTCCTGGGCTATAGACGAAGCAGACTCTGGAAGCCAAGAGGGTTGGTGCATTGTTGCCACCTGATCCTCTAGGGCAGGATGGGGCCCACCTGCCTGCCTATGCCTGGTGAATGGTGGGATGCTTCCTGGCCGGGGGAGAGAAGTGTGTTTACAGGAATTCCCTGCTCTCCCAAGAGAGCCCTTTTTAATGGGCAACGGCCATTGTTGTAAGCCTAGCACTTCCTCGGGCACCTGGCCCATGTGGTGTGTTTTCAGTTAGTGCGGCTGTTGGCTAGCTGGACGAGTGAATGCGATTTGTGATGATGTCCTCAATTCAGGAAGAACTGAGTACTTAGCAATGGGATCAAATGCAGTCTTGTTGGTTACTTTTGGCTATGACGTTCCTTCCCTCTTTCTCCTCCTGTCAGTTTGCCCATTTAGAGACACAATAAGAGCCTTTCCTAGGCTTAGAAAGGCCTCAGTGGAAGTTGGTATTCAAAGGCCTTCAGTGGTATTCTGAGTAGGACTTTCTCAGAGACCCTAGTCTACAGGTGCTTGATTCCAGTGTAGGCAGTAGCCAAATATTTTGTGATCATCTCTCACTGAGATGAAAAAATATATATCTTTTTTGGTTATATTAACAAGCATCTAAAAATGCTGTCATCTTGAACTGATGCCAGCAGATAATGAATCTCAAATACCTAGGACTCTTGGTTTATATTTTGTGGTGTGAACCCCACTATTAAGTGGCTTTGTCATCTCCCAATCAGTACATTTTCTTCAACTCCCACCCAGGCCCAAGTAATTAGCTTTGCTGTGCACATAATAATGATTACTTATAATCCTGGAATCACACTATAGCACTATTTGCTAGGGAGTGGACTTCCGAATAAGAAAGATTAGTCTTGAACTTCATCCAAAGGATTTTTCTATGAAAGGACTTGAAAGGCCTCCGTTTCATGTGGTTTCTCTTATAAACCAGTAACTTAGTTGGGATCTCCTGAGGTTCTCCTAACATTCTAGAAAGGCTCCATCCGTTGTCATTAAAAACTATTCATTGTGTGTCTACCACGTTCAAGGAACTGAATAGGATCCGTGAGGGTATTAGACATGGATCTTTTCCAGCAAAATTATTTTTAATGACATTGTCTGCATATGTAGGTCTATTATAGCTCCTCCATAACTGCATTAGAGTTATTTATCTCTTTTCCCCCATGGGCTGAGTCTTTAGGGGCAGGGACCATGTCT